CGACATGAACCACCATGGCGTTGGAAGCGGGGCTGCAATTATACAGAAATTCGTCTGTTGAACGGAAACAAAAGACGTCCGACGGATAGTGACGTGACAACGGAATTTTCTTCCAATGGCCGTATTTTTAAATTTTGTATGGCCACAAATGTCCAAAAAAAAAAAAAAAAAAAAAAAAAGATGGTGACGTGACAACGGAATTTTCTTCCAATGGCCGTATTTTTAAATTTTGTATGGCCACAGATGTTTTGATGCAAAAGAAAAGTGTTTAAAACAACACTGAGATATTTTCCCACGTTCAAATAAATTAAACATGGAAATTGCTAAAACCATCCTGGTAAGAACTGATATGATATGGCAGACCCAACGTCATCGCGGCGGAAATTTCATTCGATGTCACGTCAGCCGGGTCTTCTAGAGCCACAGTCCCATATGGTGTCTTTAAACATTCAGTCCTACGATACACTCACAGTGAATAGTCGACTATTTTTTTTTTTTTTTTTTTTTTTTTTTTTTAGATAAATCAAATTTACAGATTTTTTTTCTTGTTATCCATCGAAGACATTTTCTATTAAGAGATGCAGTACATTTTATGTTGTTGAATCTTACAATATGAGCTTGGTAATGTATTCATTGTATATTGTTCTAGGCATGCAATAAACAAGAAAGTAACGTAGAGATATTTATAATCACCAAGCTCTGATCCTACGCACTGTAACTGTAATCTAATATTTACTGGTTTATGATAGTGAATGGTCCAATTTTATTATTTATATCCGTTTTCTTTGTTATCCGATGTTAAGAGACGGCGGAAATGATGATAATGATGATAATGATAATGATAATAATAATGATAATGATAACTAGTAATAATAATGATGATAATAATAATATAGTAATAATAATTATAATGATTAAAATTGTAATACTATTACTACTACTAACAATAACAATATTAACAATGATAACTTTAATGATAATAATGCTGATAATGAAATAATGATGATAATAAAGATAAAGATTATAATATGAATGATAATAATGATGATAATGATCAATCATAATAACAATGATAATAACTAATAATGATGATAATGAGAGTAACAATAATAATGATGATAATGATAACAATAATGAGGATAATAACAAGTAACAGGAATCGTAAAAATAAACAGAAGAAGAAGAAGAAGAAGAAGAGAAAAAACAGATTAGTGCCTCTCTCTTCCCCTTTCACTCTCCTCTCATAGTTCGTCTTTTCTCTGCTTTTTCCTTCCCTTTCTCTCTTTTTTCCTGTTATATCACTCTCTTTTACTTCCAAATCTCCCTTAAATTCTCTCCTCCCCTCCTTCATCCTTCCACTTCTTCCTACCCCCTTCTCCCCCCCAACCTCCTTCCCTCCCTCTCCCCTCCCCCTTCTGATCTCCCACTCCCCCCTCCCCCTCCCTCTCCCACAACCCAACCTCTTTTCCTTATTAATTCCCCCTTTGTTTCCTCTTCCCCCATCTCCCTCTTCTCTGAGCCAATTTCTCCTCTCTCTCCCTTTCCTTCTCCTTTTTCTCTGCTTTCTTTCCCTTCCCTATCTCCCTTTCCTCCTTCTTTTTCTCCCTTATAGCCCCCTTCCCCTTCTCTCTTTCTCTCTCTCTCTTGTCCACGAACTAAAGCAGGAACGCAGCGACTTTGGCATGCCAATAACTTAAGGTTTTACACAAAATAAGAGGCTCCACTTTTAAAAGATAAGACGCACTCGGGAAACCGTTTACCTTAATTGTACTTTACATGCTGATTGATTCCCCTTAATCAAGATACAAAACTGCCACGACCCCAAAACAAATACAACTGAACTTAAGGGCTGAAGTGAGAGTGCTCTCCTGGAGTCGCCGAATACTTAGCAAAGTCCGGGTAGGACCGTGTTGACGTGTGCTTCCCAAATCGTCAACCTCTGCTCGCGACGCTCTCTCGTCTCTCGCGCGCTCTAGCTAGGGTAGCCTCATCAACCCCGCCTCTTACCCCCAGGGAATGCTTTCAGTATACTTGAAAATGAAATAAATAAAAATCCAACTAACACACGTAATAGTAAGATGATGAAAAAATCCATTAAAGTCAATTGTAATCTAGAAATTAATATGGAAATCACTTTCTTTTAAAGAACCATTTTCCCTGCTGATTTATAGTATTTTACTGTTTCTTTTTTATGGTCTTTCCTAGACTAATATGCCATGTTTGAATAAGGAACAATGATAAAAAGATTTTCTTGTTTTAAAGAACAATTGAAATGAAACAAAACATATGGTATATTCGTAGGTGATCCGTTTTCTTCAAGAGATCTCTGAAGCATGGAGGATAGACTTTCCTATTCCCGGCCACTCAAGGCAAGGATCTCGGGTTGAAGCTTCGGCACGAGTGACGCGCCGTTGCGAGTCTAAATGCGGGTCAGTACGTCTAAGGTAATTGTTAAATAATTTGTTTGCGTGCGATTGACGGATAGATGTTTGTCTTTATT